TTTGCTGTCAGTGCTCTGATCAACTGGATCTCTCCGGTGTTGAAGGTGGTACTACCTCTGCAGTGTCTCTTGGTATGAAGGTGGTTCCTCTATCCTTGACTCTCCTGTTGCTGCTTCATCATTGAAAGGACTGGGAAATACTGGTGCAAGATGCTATGCTATAGCTGTACAAAGCATCTTACCAGTGGCATCAAGCAGTTGCTGTATGAAGGCCATGATGCATTTAATCATATGAATAAAATGCTGGCAATATAGACTTCAAAGGAATCTTATTGCTATATGAGGCAACTGAGTCTTTAAGCCTCAACTAAAATGTAACTTAAGTAATAACTTCTTGTAAAACATTTTTTAGGGCACTTTATGGTTAGATGTGTAAGAGTACTTTTCAAAAGAGTTTCAAAGACTGATTCCAATAAAGATATTGCTAGAATCTTTTTGGGTCAACATATCCTGAGCCTTAAGTCTATCAGAACTATTAGATTTTTTACTTGGAAAGACCAAATAAGTTCTCACTTCATCTTTTTAAAAGATGATCTCAAACTTTCTTAAAGCTAAAACTTCATATTGCACTGAAACCTTCTTTACAAAGGCAGTCTGTGCTGGTAAGATGCTTCTGGTTAGTCATTGAACAAACATCTTCCTGGCTTTATAACCTACTGGTTTGTTTACTATGCTTAACCTGTAATTGGACTACTGTTAGTTGGGTAATCACTAATTTGGTGCTACACAACACTAAGTCTGCAAACCGGTTTATCTCTTGGAATACTGTACACATGAAAACAAATACAAAATGGGAATTGCATATCTTTCAGTCCCTGCAAACCTGCTTCTAGGGTGTGGCTAGGGAGGTGTGCAGCTTCTGCTTGATGGAGAAAAAATCTTGCTAGTAATTCCCTTATAGAAGGTTAAAGCAAAACTTAAGCTAGCTATGCAACTTTACAAGCATCATGTATATTACTTTAGTAGCTCTCTAGATGATTTAACTTGATTGCAATAGTGGTGTAAAAGTGACTTAAATACAGTTGCTCGTATGTCAGAGCCATTTAACTTTTAATTTTTTGTTGCTTTTTTTAACAGGGATATTAAGACACAAATTTCTCCGTTTGTGATGTCTTTTGGATTCAGGTATGGGGTGGGTATATGCATATATAATACCAGTATAGATGGGGGAGAGATGTAAAATACGCTTCTAGCCATTTTGCTGTAAAGCAAAATATCAAATCTTGGCTGTGCAAAACTTACTCTGAATAAAATTCAGAATAGCTTCTTGGGGAAACTCTTCTGTTAGCACTGGGAGGGAAGAGTGAATGCTGATGGAACTATTACAAGTCTCACAAGGCAAGTCTACAAGAGCTGCTTCAAGTGCAATAGACTAATTCTGTTGCACACTTGGCACAGGTTTTTCCTGCTGTGCTATATGCAGTTAAATTGGTCTACAGCACACTAGCATCACAAAAAGCACGCACCAGCACTAATACTGCACCATAAGGATCAGCATTGCTGTGTAAGTTTTTAGTATCTGTAATTACAGGTACTAAAAACATAATGCATTGTAATTATGGCACGTTAATGAACACATAGATGCACCCAAAGAGACCTCACCAAGACAAGTCTAGGCTGTTTGTCTTTTAAATAGAATGTAATTCTATCACTTGGCTAATGATTGACATCTTTGAGTCAGGTGCATCTGTAGTTTTGGACTACACTAACTCTTGGCTCTTTTGAACTTGCTGGTCCCCTGCTAACAGCTTTCACTTCCAGCTGCTGAAGTAAAGATGACTTGACCACAAAGAGTGGATGGATGGCAGATGCAGGCTCATGTTTTATTTTGGATGTAGTTTCATTAATTGCTTTAATATTCCATCTCTAAACTTGAGAGAATAAAATTAACTAATTGATAGATTAGTGGAGAAACATAGTGTATAGTTCATTTTGGCTACAGATGGGTTATAAGGCTAATTTTAGAAATTGTCGGCAAGGCTATGCGCTTGAAGATTAATGTTCTTGTATCATTTTCTTCATTTGTCTTGTAGAGTATTTGGTGTTGTACTCATATTTGTAGACATTGCACTTTTGATTGTGGACTTGGCTGTTAGTGACACGCAAAGGAACACTAAACAGACCCTTGAAGGCATTTCCCTGGGGATAGCACTCTTCTTCTTTGTTGATGTTCACCTGCGAGTATTTGTGGAGGGGTAAGATTCAATGCCCATGGGGCACTTTTTTGCTTTCCCATTAAGCAGACATGGATACCTAGAGGGGTGTCACCCAAACCAGACTCTAGAGGGGTAAAATTGAGGTGGCGCTGCTCATTCTCAGCTGTGTGTGTGTGTGTGTGTGTGTGTGTGTGTGTGTGTGTCCACAATGAGACAAGAGGATCTAGGGCTGCTTATGCTACCATGATACAAATAAAATTGCTTTATTAGGAATGAGCAAGCTCTCTTCTTTCTAGAAAGTCTTCCAATGAGTTGCTTCAAGTCTTGGCAAGAACCCTAGACATGGCAAGCATAATAAAAGCCTTAGTCTATCTGTCCATAATACTCTGGGCCAACTGCATGTGCTGTTGAGAGTGCATGCCAATCTGGCTGCGAGGCCCCAGAGCATTACAGATGGAGGGAACTGCCAGGCCACTCCTTTTCCACACCCTGCCTTCCTCCTTCCAACAACAGCCAGCAGGGAGGGAGACAAGTGGGGGTTCTGGTGGCAGTGCCCCTCTGCTGCTGCTGCTGGCCCCAACAGCTGGCAGAGGAGGCAGGTGGTAGAAGGGGAGGGAAGGCATGTTGTGTGCAGCTGGGTGGCTATGCAAGCTTCCCTCCTCCCAGGAGCAGGGGTTAGGGAGTGCATGGGGCCAGATTTTGGGGGGGGGTGCATAATGGCTTCTGGGTGGCAGTACTCCATCCCTGCCTGCTGCATTCCCCCCTCCATTTCATGATGGGCAACTTGCTAGTTAGTAATAAAAATACACTTGGAGGCACCTCCATTCAGCCATGGACCTGAGAGTTGGGTACTCCTGAAACTACTTTCCTAGTTGCTTAGGTAGAGGAACTGGCATTTTTGCCCACTTTTCTAAATTCAATAAAATGAATGATGGCATAGAATGCTTATTTAACAGACATGTAAGTTTCCACTAGGCTGACTTAGTCAGACAATGGGCAGAAGTTTTTTTTTTCTCTTCTCAGTGGGACGTAAGTTTTGCTATCTCACTTGAATACTTTAAACTTGGCTATCCTCCATCTGTCCTGACCTCTCCTCTCAACCATCTCTTACTCTTGACTTGCTTAGAGTGTTAATAGCACTCTTCTGTGGTAGTACTTGGGTCCACATGAAGATCAAGATACTTGAGGTATGAGGTCCTGGCTGCTTGTATGAGTATGTCCTGAGATCTTGCATCTGTAGCTCATGTACCTGGTCTGTTCTCAAACAACAGAGGTGGGGCTTGGAGGATGATTAAAACAATTTGAACACACTACTACAATACAGATTACTCTGCATAGCTGATTAGAATAGAGTTCACAGGGCTTATGGAGAGCTGCTCACTGCATAAGAAGTGACGAGGGAGGCTGGAATAAGTCAGCACTGTGCAGAGACTCTTGCTAGCTCTGCAGTAAAACATAGAAGCAAGATAGCTGGCTGACCAGTGAACTGTGCCGTATTGGATCCAGAACCCCTCTCTCTGTCTTGAGCTACCTTGCATTATTGGATGGCTGCTGTGCACAGCACCATATATAATGAGAAGGGAAATCCTCTGCCCTTGCTTTTGCTTAGTACAGAGTAGCTATACGTCACAAAACACTAAAGGTGCACTGATATCAATGCCATACTGAATGGCACTGAGTTTAAAAGGAAAACTTAACTTTATTGGCTTTCTTTGGCTGATGTTGCCAATTTTTATATTTAAAAAAAAAAAGCCTTCTGGCTGGATCCCCTGGATGCTGCATGCATACTGCAGCTGTGTGCATGGACATGGTGAGGAATACTGCCAGGCAGTATGGAGAGCAGTGCCATGCAGGTAAGTCTGTGGAGGGGAAGAGGCATAGGTGTGGGGGGGGAGGGTGCAGATCAAGGTCCCCACAGCAAGGGGGTGGAATGGGGCTAGAGGTGCTGCCCAGCCAGAGCAATGAATTGAATCCCAGAGCAGGACAGAGCCATGGGCAGCTCATTCTAGAGGTATGGGGGAGAAGAGGCAGCTCCCTGCTGCTGCACACCTCCCTAGAATAAGGGTGTGGGGGGGCATATGCCCCTCAGACTTCTGCATGCAGCAGAGGTGGCTGCCCATTGCAGGCTCAAGGCTCTCTTCCCTGTTGCCTCTGCCCTGGGAGCCATGTGTTGGCTGTATGTCCTCTACCCATCTGGCAGCAGGAGCAAGTTGTGCCTCTCACTGCCAGGCAGGCAGGGGATGCATGGCCAGCAGACTGCTGTTCCCAAGGCAGAGGCAGCAGGGCAGAGCCCCAAGCCCATAGTGGGCAGCCTGCCTCCACTTTTGCCCCACTTAGCTCTGCTCCTAAAAGCATCCCCATGCTTGGTGGTGGTGGTGGCACTTGAACTAAAGCTCACATGACCAGTTTTAATTCAAGCACCCCTACTAACATTTTTTTTTAAGTGCTTGGATCCCCTGGACAACTTGCCTAGAGCTCTGTCCTGCTCCCTGCCCCTGCCTCTGGTCCTATTCACTGACCTGGCTGGGCAGTGCCCTCTGCCCCTGCCTCACTCCCTCCCTTACCATGGGGAGCATCAATCTGCCCCTTACCTGCAGGGAGCTGCTTTCCATGCTGCCTGGCTGTAAATCACTTGTCAGATCAGTATTGGCTGATTTAGGCCTGGTGAATAATTGGCTATCAGTATCGGCCAAGAAAATATTTATTGGTGCACCCCTACAAAATGCAGGAAGTGCCTTGCAATGATAATCTTCTCCCATCTGGAAGGTCTCTAGCAAATCACTTGACTGGTTAAGCACTCCCCAAAGCTTTGAATCCCTTTATGTGGACTGCTCTGGATATCCAAGTGCATAATTACTGTCAGAACCAACTAATGTTGAACAGTATAAGGGTAGTCTCTTTAAATAAATAAAAACAAAACTGTTAGTTCCTCCAAGAAGAATACATAATACTGGGATAAAACAAACTGGAATGATTCTTGGCAACATGATATACCTACTTTGTAGTATTTTTAGGGGGAGCATCTAAAACTACCCTCTTTCTCCCCAGCTTCAGAACCTACTTCAGATCCAAACTGAATATCTTGGATGCCCTCATTGTTGTGGGAACTCTGTTGATTAATATGGTGTATTCTTTCTCTGGCTTCAGTGCAGCAGACAAGATCCCAAGGTAAGTGTTTGCTATACTTGAAGTGAGCATTAGAAGGATTTGCTGGTCTGGGGAACAGCAAACTAACTTGAACATAATTAGAAATATAATCAAGGCTTATGCTGGCTACATGTGGTGGGGGGGGACAGTTGGTTCTTAGTTGTGCCTTTTGGATTAGGCACTGCACTCTACAGAAATACTCTGCCTCTTATTTAAAAGATTACAATTTAACTAAACAAAAATGCTTCTTTCCCAATGCTGTGGGAGTAATAGAGTGAAAAAAGTATATAATGTCATTGACTTCCATTTCAGGATGGAAGACTTTTGAGGAAAAGAGGGTGAAGGGGCAAATGCAGAGCAAAGTTGAAGCAGAGACTTCTCCAGCTCCTTTTTTCCCTGCTTGTCTCTTACAAATGGCCAAATAGATCCAACTTTCCCTGTCTAGGGTTAACTAACCCTTGTTCCATGATAAGGCCCTTGCTTAAGCAAATGGGTATTCAAGGGAGCAGCCATCCAGTAAGTGGTGCTGGCTACCAGCAGACATTCTAGCCTGACAGACAGGTGAGTTAACTCCTAAGAGTTACCTGAAAGAGTGCATGCAGGCAGGCTGGTGAGAAACTTGAGGGGGTTAAGAACAGGGAGATGGACACTCTAAGAAGCAGAAGGGAGACTAATATGGGCTGGAGAAGCCTGCTGAATTTCCTGTGCCCTCCAGGGAGGGATGCCCAAGGCTGCCTTTCTGTTAACTCAGGTGCCAGGATGGAAGATGAGACTTGAAGGGTCCTAGAAACCTGGAGCTCTGGTGCAAGGTGAATTGAGTCTAAGCTGCCTGGTGCCAAAGTAAAGACTTATCTTTTTGTTCCTTTAACTGCCTACTGGCTTTCTGGAACAGCCACCTAGCACTTGTAATTGGATTCCTTCCTGCCAAACTCCTGTCTTCTGACTATCCCCCCCACTCCCATTGGTTAAGCCTGGTAAGGTCTAAAATGTGCACAGGAAGCAGAAGCTTGTACTCAAGGCAAAATTTGACTTAAGTGTGTATGTTCTATTCTTTCCCACCTGTGGCACTTAAACAAATGTAGGTAGTGATTTTTGCTACTCACTACATTCAACAATACCAGAACTAGGTAAGATGCAAGGAAATTGGATTGTAGCTTTGAAGCGACAAAAGGACTCTTTTACATATCTTGTAAGGAACTTTGTGCAACTCATTCCTACCAGATGTAGAGGCTGAGAACCTAAGCAGACTTAAAGAGGATTGGACAGATCCATGCAGGATAGGCCTACTGATAGTTTTATTAAAGATTTTTTTTATAGGTATAAGTCCCAAACTGGGACTCCTAGATCTAGAGGCATAACAGGGTGACTGCAGCATTTGTTCTTGCCAGCAGTGGCTCTCTGCCCCTTGCTTCCCCAGTCAGCACCTGGGGCTGCTATCCTTGTTGCCCTCTTTACCCTCTAGTTAGACTATTAACTCAGCCTCTGAATACTGGAAGATGTAAGCAGGTCAGTCTACATAAACCCTTCATAGATGTTCTGGGAAAGTGTCTGCTCTGTACTAGTATGAAGAAATGCTGGGCTACAAAGAGGTCATCCTGGACCAGAACATGGGTCCACCTTGTGTTCTTGACTAGTGACATTTAGGAGCTGCTGCCCTAAGTGATATACATAAGGGTCTTCTGTGAGAAGTTGGAGAAATTGGTTTTGGAGAGTGTTTGTTTGTTGCTCAAGCTTTCCTAAAACCATAGAAATCAACATCTTTCTTACCACTTCAGAGTTTAATTCTTAACTTCCTTGTAAAAATTTCAAGTGTTTAGTTAACCCAAATGGATGAGGGATTAAAGGTGTGGACTCTAGCACTGCTCCACTGCTGAACTTTAGTCAGCAGACAGCCTTTTATAGGAGCTAGAGGCAAACATTGTAATCTTATAGCCCCCCTCATAAGTGCAGTGATTTTTTTTTCTTTTCATCAAAATGATGGACACTAAGCCAGGCCATAATGAATACAAGGAAACAAGATAATCTAGTTCATTTCCAGAAAAATTAAACTCTTCTGTAACAAAACACTCTGAAGTAGTTTAGCCTTGTAACTCTATTTGGAGGGAAAGATTACCTTGACAATTCTTTCCCCACTCCCTGCTGAGACAATTCTAGATCTTTTTTTTTGTTTTGTTTGTCTGTAATTTAAACATGTAATCATTTTAATAAATACCTAGGGTTTGGGGGTTTTGTTTAATATTTATACATGCAAACTGACTAAACTCATGGAACTTCATCATGCCTGCATGTTTAAATCTGAGAAAGTGGGGGAAGCCTCTTAGAATAAAACCCTATTAATATCTCAACTTGAAATAGGACTTGTTCAGGCTTATTCCACTACTAGGCTAACTTTTTTCCCCCCCCCTCCCCCCTGCTAGAATGGTTATCTTCCTTCGAGCTCTGAGAATCATCATTCTGATAAGAATATTTCGCCTAGCCTCACAAAAGAAACAACTTGAAATGGTGACCAGGAGGATGGTAAGTTAACTTAGTAGCATGCTGACAAGCAGTGGTGATGGGTTTCTTTGCTTTTTACTATTTAAATAACAAGTGTTGCGAGAAGGGATAAATGAGCTCTTGTTGTCCTGCCTCCTTTGCCTATCTCTATCTTGTACTCGTGCATCTAGCTGGTCATAGCCAGAGGTGTAACAAGGCATGCAGGGCCAGGGGCTGCAGCATCTCCCAGCTGCTGGCATGCTGCTGCCCTGGTCAACCCACCCTAGTTAAGCTACTGGGTGTAGCTAGTCTAAAATAGCATGCTATGTGCAGACCCAAAAAGTAGCAACAGTAATCTCTTTCCAGAAGATGTAAGCTGTTACAGTGACTGGAAGAAAACACACAAATATCTAAGAAATGCTAGGATACTGAAGGTGGACCACTTCAGTGTGTGGCTTTTTGAGAAACTACCTCTATACCAATGTAGCTGTAGCCTTCTTAAATTTCAGAGTTAAACTGAGCAGTCCAATGATGCTAAAGTGGTGCTATGACTGCTTGTTGCTGTTGGCCAGCTATACACTTCTCTCAAAGCAGACTTCCTGCTGTAGGTGTGAAATAAGGAGTTTACAGTTTGCTGTCGAATACTAATTCTGTGATTTTTATTAAAACTTGTTACCCTGTCTTGTTACAGTTCACCAAGCTTGAAATATTGTCCCCCAAAATTTTAACATAAGATGTTAAAGACTATTTAATAGTCTGCTCCATGCTGGATTTCCAGCATGTTGGAACAGGCTCCCCACATGTATGTATCAGTAGTGCAGAGCATCTCCACACTGAGCAAATGAACTAAAGCTCATCAAATGAACTTTTTATTTCAAAATACCTCTCCACCATTCTTTCAGTGTGGGGATGCACTGCACTGCTTATGCATGTGACACACACAGATGTTCTTAACACTGCTTGCTAATTAAAAATGCCCAGTGTCATATCAGACATGCATGTAAAAATGCCCAGAGTTGGCAATATGCCCATGCCATTGTCCTGCATCAGTGTAGACTAGGATGAGTGTGTTTGTTCAGCAGTGTGATCAAGTCGATCATGCCTCTGGGAGTGTGCATTCAGCTACCTGTTCTTGTTTTCCTTCAGTGAAGCTCTTGCTAGCTGCTGATTTCCTGAAGTCTTGTGTGGACAAGGCCTAATGAAGCATTGACTCCCCAGTGGGAATGCGAGACCCAACTGCTTTACATAGTCCCTCACACACTTTTTTTTTTTATGCAGGGGACCAGAGGCTTTGTCTCTCACTAATTATACTTTCCCCTAATAATGGAAATTGGTCTAGAAAACTACCAGTATTACAGATAATCACAAGTCTACTTGGGGTTCCTGTACTTGCTTCTATGCATCTGTTTTTTCCCCTGACAGGTCTCGGAAAACAAAAGGCGTTATATGAAAGATGGCTTTGATCTGGATCTCACTTACGTTACTGGTATGTACGCTTAAAGCATGGTCCAGTTCAAACCTGCTGGCACCTCCACCCACTGTTCTATGCCTAGCCTTCTGAACAAGGGCATGCGCGACTGGAGCACTGTCTACCCTGAGGAGCAGAAATGGTCCTCCAAGTGGATTGCCCATTATGTAAAATGGCTAGTGCAGGAAACTAGTTAATTTACACGTTTTTGTAATTACAAAGGCACACCTAAAGCTTGTGCCACACAATGGTGCTTGCAGCAAAAGTTCTTCTCTTTTTATGATGTTACCTATAACTAACTTTGGTCTTTAACATTAAAATGAGTGCCTCAGCTCTTGAAGCTATATGGCTTTTTGCCTTAAGTTTGAGACATTAGTACTACCAGTTTGTAGATCTTCTAATGTGTGGCTTGTGGGATGTTTTTTTTTTTTTTAGACCGTGTTATTGCAATGTCATTCCCATCTTCTGGAAAGCAGTCTTTCTATAGGAATCCTATAGAGGTAAATCTTCTAATCATTCCTGACTTGTGAATTAAGTTTACAGAACTGAATTTCTGTACTCTACTTCCTATCTCTCTGCTAGGATACTATGGATTGGATGAGAAATCCTAAACTCTCTGGGTGGTCTTATGGGCTAAAACCGAAGGCTTCTTTTATGCCAGTACCAAGTGAACATATGAACAGTAAACTTAACACAGTATCTTGTGTTTTACTCTATTTGTTTTGGCCACCTCCTTGTGGTTATGGAGATCTATCTTTGTAACTTCTGAACTTTGACTTCTGCTTCCAAAGACCTTCTGAGGTGGTGTCTCCTTTTTTTTTTCTCTTTTTCTTGATGAATATTATGGGCCTTAAACTATCCTTCTGGCTAGGGAGAGTGAATAAAGTGCAATCATATTGCATTAAATTCAATCTTACGAATACACAGGTGTACAGTTCCTTTAAAGGAAAAGCAGACTAATTGAGTAGTAATGCTGAAGCCAGATAAAAGCCTGAGCTATTGCTTCATATTTAAGACCTGAGCTTCACTTTTTCAGACATTATGAATGCAGTTACTGTACATCCACCTTGCTTAAGGTTGAGTGGCAGCTGTTGTAGTGTTACATGCATTCACACTAATAGTTGAGCTCAAATAAGTCTTGACTGTCATCTTTCTTCTTTTAGGAAGTTGTGAAGTTCTTTGACACAAAACATAAGGATCACTATAAAATCTACAACCTCTGCAGTAAGTCTTTAAGAATATCAGCAAATAACATGGGTTTTCAAGCCAAGTTCAGAAAGGTTTAATGTCCAGGGTATGTGGTATGTCTGCCTTCTGTACTGAGCTTTACTACTTGGAGCATCCAGTGTTGAATGAGACTATGTACCAATGTTAACAAGGTATGTCAAAAGCATCCATGGTATGTTGGCTTTCTCAGGGAGAAGGCAGAGTAGACTGATACTAACTAAGTAATAGGAAAGGTCTGTGAGGAAGTATTGGATTTGCTGAAGTCAAAGTTCCCCTTGACTTCAGTGGGGCTAGGACTTTGATCCCTGCTCTTATTGATAACCTGGGTGGTACAAAGGGCTGTTAAGAACCAGAAACTGTTTCACTGAAACCTACTGGTAGGCTGGAGCTTGGGTGGGTCTTGGGTAGTGGATCTCCAACTCTTATGAAGAACTGCAGATCCAGCTGAGGTGGTTGGATATTATTTGTATCTCCAGTTTAAATGAAGGAACAGTAAAATGGCTCCTCTTAGTTTTGGCCATTACAACCATGAGTCATCCCTTACTCCTGCCCAGGATTTAATTGGTAGTCAAAAGCACTGTGCTGTAGCCCAGAGAGCTGGAAGGAGTGTGGGCTTCTGATCTGGAAAGACCCTGAATAGTGGTTAGCCCAAAAGCCCACAGATGGCTCCTACCACCTGGTCATAGACTAGCCAACATTGGGTTGGACAAACTACTAAAAATGGAAAAGCTCAGACCAAAGGACCATGACCTGAAAGCTGGCTTACTTTTTTTCACTTTCATAATCAAGCTTTCTTCTTTATTGGCTTAAATCCTAGCTAAAATGTTCATACTATACTATGGTGCTAGATCCTAGTATCTGCTAGTTATGCACATTCAAAACACAGCTTAAGTAATTTGATATTAACTTCCTTATGCCAATGAAGTGAGAACTCTTTCTTGTAGGTGAAAAAGGCTATGACCCAAAGTACTTCCACTACAGAGTAGAAAGAATCTTCATTGATGACCACAATGTCCCTACTCTGGTGTGAGTAATCTTTCTATTCTTGGGGGTTTAAGACCAAGCTAGATAAAGCCTTGGCTGGGATGATATAGTGGATGTGGTCCTGCTTTGAGCAGGAGGTGGACTAAACTTCCTGAGGCTCCTTTCAACCTTAACTTTCTACTGTTCTAAGCTTCCCTCATTTCACACTGTACATGCATTCCTGGAAAATGGTGCATAACTTGAATTTTTGCATAAAAGGAACCCACTTTACATTGGAATGTATCCCTATTCATTACAAAGCCTTGACTTTACTGACACCAAGACCCACTTCTGCTACTCTTACAAGACCATCCTGGTACTCGCCAACAGCAGACAATACACAAGCACAGGGCACCATCATAATGGTGATGGCAACTATAGAAATGTGTCTTGCAGACAAGGAGCAGATCCTCGCAGACTATACTTTGGGGCACATCACTCCCACAATGCACTGCACAAAGCAGATGACTGGGCTCTCACCACACTGAATACATAAGAGTGAATTTACTTTGCATATAACACGTTTTGGTATTAAAGGGTCATCGCATAAGAGCGAATTTGCACATGCGGAACCTGCACAAAGCAAGGGAAACCTGTAGACTAGTATTTGTCCCTCCTTTGTATAGTTTTTTGTTTGGGTTTTTTTGTTTACTGTAGGATGTAGAAATGGCTCTAACATTCAGTGCTCTTATCCAGGGACATGCTGAAGTTTACTGCCAGTGTCCGGGAATGGATGAAACAGGATGAAGAAAACATCATAGCAATTCACTGCAAAGGAGGCAAGGGTAAGAGAATGCTCTATTTTCTCAAGTAAGAGGATCAAAGATGCAATAAAGTACTAACATTAGTGGTAAGAAGATTCAACTTAATGAGTCTTTAATGGATCAAATTGCAGATTGAGGCAAGTACTACATGAGCATGGGATAACTTGGATGTCTCATGGTCAGATAAGTTGCATGCTAACAAATCTCTGCTCCTTTCATAGAGGTCCTCAAACTCTTTACAGAGACCAGGATAAAATTTTCAAAGTTGTACAGGAATAAGCCTCGAAGTCTGAACAGTTTAGACTACATTAAGAAGTACTGTTTTGCAACAATTGTGACTTCAAAAAAAAAAAAAAAACTCCCTTGCCCCTCAGACTGGACAAAAGATTTCTTGAAGGCTAGAACTGCTGGTTGTAGGACCCAAGCAGCCCTTTGGACCAGTTCTCAGTCCCAGGCTATTGCCACTGCAAAGACTTCTATATCATGAGCTTCACTAAAACTTTGCTTATAGTGAAGGTTTGCCCACAGGCATTATAAGATACTAAAATTGACTAAAGAAGGCATTTATCAAAGCAGCTGTCTAAAACTGTCCTTTGTTAACATGCCCAAACTTATCAATAAAGTTGAGCTGTACTCAACTTTCAAAGTTCAGCACTCATGAAAACTTTTTATACTTAACCTTAAAAAAAACAAACAAAAAAAACAACCCTCTAAAGATGTTTGTAAACCAACCCCTCCTTCCACCATGACTGGCTTTGAGTGATCTCCTTACTCTCTCAACAATCTGAAGAACAGACTGGTATCGCCACTCTTTCAAAGCAAGACTCTTCTTGCTTGTAGTGCTGGGGCATGACTGATTTACTGAATTGTACTTTGAAAATCATCATTATTTTGTTAATGCACACCCCCTTTAGAGCAGTATCTGGATTTTTCTCAGGAATGGGCTTAATGAACTTGCACCTAAATTTACAAGCTTAACTTCACAACTGAAGGATTTTTTTTTTTTGTGTTCAGTAACTTTGAAATCTGCTAAAAGATCCTAGCTTCTGGTAACACTTGGAGTTCTAGAAATAACATGTGTAACTTTGTTGCCAATCATGTGCAATTTCAGGTACCTTGATAGATAAATTGGATTTTTCTTTACTTTTTAATGCAGGCAGGACTGGAACAATGGTCTGTACCTGGCTTATTGACAGTGATCAATTTGAAAGTGCAAAGGTATGAAACTGCTGATAGAAGGGTGTCTTTTAATTTTAAACCAAATTTAAAGTTAGCAAAGGATGAGGTATTTCCTGAGTACAACGATGCTGACTAGGGAGATTCTCCCTGTGAATGGCATGCCTCATTCTGCATTACAAATAAACAACTTTTTTTTATCAAGATGTTAAACCTTCATTACTCAAGGAGATGGAAAATAGTTGGGGGAAAAGCAGCTGGGAAGATCTAAAAGAGAATGAGCCATGCTGGGATGACCTGTCTAGGAGCACTTGACCTACATTCAGCTGTTTTGCATATTCTCACTTCTTTTTAAAAGAGTGATTTTTTTTTTTTTTTTTTAAAGCGTTTACTTTCTAAAGTCTATTATCTTTTATATGAGGGTTGGTTTAGTTTGCTTGGTTTACTCAAAGCTGAAACAACTTTGAATGTCTGTCATCTTCCCCTCTTTCCTCCCCCTCCCCAGTCAATCTGTTGCTATTGGCTAACATCTACAGAATCAATACACATGGTATCTTGCCTGAAACTCTCAATTGTTTTGAAGAACTGATTTCTTTTTCACTTCCACTTGATCAGGAGACTAGGATGCTCACTA